CGGCAACCGGTACCGGGCCCCTCACAGCCTCCCCCCGCCACCGGTACCGGGCCCCTCCCGCTCCCCGCAGGGCCCTTCACGCCGCCCCGGCCACTCACCATCCGCCTTCCCCAGGCCGACCAGCGCGACGATCAGCACCAGGACCCCCACCTTCGCCAACAGCTCCATGGCCGCCACCCGCCCCGGCTCCGCTCCCCACACAGACTAGCCCGCCCCGTTCGTCCGCCGCCTTTTATAGCCTCTGCCGCGCCCGGCCAATCGCAGTGCGGAAGAGCTAACGCGTCAGCAGTCTCCAGGCTGAGAGGGAGCTGAGAGGTTGCGCGAGCTCGCCCGCCGGCAGTATGGTTTTCGCTTTCGGTTCGGGTCTAAGGCACCGCCCGGGCCTTGGCGGGCCCGGAGCCGCCCCACTGCCCCCCGACGGTGCCCGGCCGCGGGTGAGGCTGTTGCTATGCCCTAGGCCCGGCCTGCCCCGTCCTGGGGCCTCTCCTGCCCCACCGTTGGCCTTCACCTCAGGGATGGAGGCATCAAAGGCATGAGGTGGCACCGGACCCCAGCCGCTGCTCCCCCGGGCCCTGAGCCGGACGCCTGCGGTCAGGACCCCCCCGCCGGGAGCAGGTCACGGAGCAGGGCTACAAGGTGCTCAAGTGGCTCCCACTTCTCACCAAAAGGGGGGTAAAAACCACCTCTTGTGGGGGATTTTGCAGCCAGGGCCAGTATTACGCCAACAGCGAACGCTGGCGCAGCCTGGCCATCTTCCTTTCTGAACCTCGGCTTGCGTTCTTTCGAAGCCTGTGCATCAGCGTCTCAGTCCGGCGGCTGCAGGATGGATTGACTCTGCCATTCGAGCGCAGCATGGACTCCCCGACGTCAAACACAAGAACCCAAAGGTCAAAGAGCTGGGTTTTCTGGTGCCTCCTCTAGAAAAGCTATTAGCACAGTAGCCCAGCTAGGCAAGGTACACCTCTGTATGGCTCTGTAACACTGCAGGCACTGCTTAGAGAAGTACAGCAGCTTTGAATAGCAGCGTTAAGAAAACCAAGGTTAGAAAAGGAAGATGAATCAGTATTAAAGAGCACATAGATATTTTATACACCTAGGAGCTTGTCTGCTTGTGGTCCTACAGGTCATGTACTGCTTATCTTCAGAGTCACTGTTTCAGACTGGGAAGCAGACATATATTGTTCTCCATCTAGCTGCATAAAGATTCAAAAGTAAAAAAAAAAAAAAAAGAGATAAAAGAAAGGAAAGTCACGACTAGTGGGAAGAAAAGAGCAGTTATGGAGCTCCTCTAACACTGAGCCCCTTCAAGAGTTGCCATCTTAATACATCCCATTTAAAGACCTATCTTTAAATCAATAAAGCACGCACAGAGAACATCTCCCACCCAAAGGCAGTGGAGACTGAGCAAAGAAAAAACCTGCAAATACTCGTTATCAAGCCCCACTGGACAAGCTCTGAGCTGAGCTCTTGCTCGGTTTCCTGGCAGCCCGGTGAGCGGCGCCAGTGGCCACGCAGCTGATATTGAGTGTTTTTGCTCTGAGATAAGGGGACACAGCTGTTGCCAGAGCCTTGTCAGGGACCTCTGGGCTCTCGCAGAAATAAATGCTAACTGCTGTGTCGGCAGCTGAGCTGGCATTGGGGGTCACTGCCTTGGAGCCCGGCTCACAGGCTAGTCTGGCTCTGCCCAGGTGAGCCATCCCCTTGGCTCAGGGAGGATTAATTACACAAATAGCTGATTGCAGGACACAGATACTTTCTCTGTGCTGGCACCAGGCACTCCCTGTTGGGATGGGAATTCCTGGAGATGACTCTGCCATAACCAGCAACGCCTGGCAGACTTTCCCTGTAAAGAGAAGCTGAACCATGAGTTTAGAAGCACGTGATGTTTCTAAAAAGCCAGGCTGGTTTGATTCGAACAGCCAAATCTTTCTTTTTTAGGGCACTTCTGCTTTTATTAGCAGGGAGAAATATTTAAGGAGTGGGTGAGGTCTAACACAACCGAGGCACCCCCAGCATGCAGGGGGATGAGGGCAGCCCGCTGCGCTTCGCGGGACGCAGAGATTTACAGTGTCCTTGCCTTAGTTTTGCTTCCCTCTGCCTTCAAATCCGCTGCTGTACATCTCCAAGGCACGCTTCCAGCTGGACCGACCACGTCCCACTGGTTTTCCATGACCGCTCAAAGGGGTTGGGGTTCGGAAGACGCCCTGGCTGGCAGAGAGCAACGAGAGCAGTGGAAAAAGCCGGGCTGGGGGTTTCTGCGCCCTGAAAAACGCAGGCGTTTGCAGCTTTGCAGTCCCTTTCGCGGGCGGGGTCATTAAACCTCAGCCTCCTCTTCCCCCCCCAGCGCCACCCCCATCCCTGCCCCGCGTGGGCGGGGCCTAGCCGAGAGGGCGGGGGGCGGGCGTCAGGAGTCGGGCCAAACCCCAAAAAGGCACCCCGATGCCCCCCACCCCCCTCACCGAGATTTCCGTCCTTCCATCCCCACCGTGACAGCGACGGAGGGGTTAGGCGGAGGCGGTGAAGCAGTGGGGAAGGGGGCGGGGGTGTGGGGGGGGGGGGGGAGCCGGTTGTGAGTGCCCGCCCTGCTCCGCCCTGGTGTGCTGGCCCGTCCCCGGGGCCGCCTCCTTTCCTGCTGCCCCGGGTTACGCCCCCCCCCCCGGGCCCGGCTCTCCCGGGGCCGCCCTTCCCGGTGCTGGCTCTCCCGGGAGCGGTCGGTACTGGAGAAGACACCGTCTCGGAGGTGCTAGTGGGGTGTCCTTCCCTGCCTTGTGCTCGGGTGCTGTTCTTGCCCTGCTAGCAGGGCGTTCACTCTGAAGCCTAATGGTGTCCCTTAGCACTAACCACGCTGGTGCTGTTTTATGCTGGCATCCGCTGCGCTGGCAGGGGCCACCGTCACCTCTGGGCGGCCACAGCCCTGGTCCCAACAGACTTCAGTGGGCTCCTATCCTGCTCTGAGCCAGTGGGTCCTGCCCTTGCTGGTAGTGCTGGTGGCTCCTGCTCTTCCCTTGCCAGCTGCGGAGCACCCATGGGCCCTGGGGTCTGCCTGGCACCACCAGCAGGGTGGGGGGGAAGTTGGGTGCCTCCCCACTTGGGAGCAGGTTAGGGTTATCCCACCCTTGCCTGTCTCCCTTAGCGGGGACCCTGTTGCTTTCGACTCCAGATCCTTGAGGACTACCTGCTGGTGGAAGATGCGCCTCTGCTGGAGGAGATGGCTGAGGAGGACGAAGAGCTCGACCTGTACAATGAGATGACTTTTGGGTTAGGTAAGATCTCAGGGGAGCCCCCAGGGTCAGGGAGATCAGCCAGCACTCAACAGGGTGAGGAGGATGGAGGGGGGGGGTGAGGAAGGTGTCCTCCTGCCTGGTGAGGAGCTGGGTTGGGAGCAGGGACCCCAGTGGGCACTGCCCAGGCTCTCACCCACCCTGATGTGCTCTGCTTCCCGCCTCCAAGACCGAGACTCTACTGAGGAGGACACCACAAGACCCCTGATGCCTCTGGAGACAAGCTCTGAGCTGGCCAAAGCAGTGGCAGAGGAGATGGAGGCTGAGGGGGAACCAGGGCCTGGAGCGGCTGAGCAGCCAGAGGAGCTGGGAGAGCCCCAGGAAGAAGGTGGGATGGAGCCGGAGGTCGAGCAGGTTGTCTCTGAGTTGGAGGGAGAGGAGGAAGAGCTGGGGACTGAGGAACAGGAGGAAGACCAGGAGCCCTGTGAGGAGCCCAACAACCTGGGAGACCCAGCGGTGATGAGAGCCGTGCAGAGCAAACCCACACTGGAGGTGATGCGGGAGTGGAGAGGGAGGGGACCCATGCCTGGCTGGTGGGCAGAGGGACTGGCAGGGACCCGTTGCTCCCCCTTCTATCCCCACACCTGTGGGTCCTACCCCACAGAGGGCACCAGGGGGTAGTTTGGTCCCTGCCCAAGGGAGGAAGACCTGCTGTGCCAGGGCTGAATAAGTGCCTGTAACCTCTTCTTTGCTTGCAGAGCCAGGACTCAGCGGTGCTGGACAGTAGGATTGGTGCTTGCTGGGCAGAGTTTGGCAAAGAGGACATGGTAAAAATGTCTCCTCCCATCCAGTGATGAGGCTAAGCAGCCCCTGCAGTGTCTCCTGCCCCTCTCCTCCTGTCCTTCTTCCCCATGCTGACTATCTCCCTGTCTTCCAGCTGGCGATGGATCCCATGGTGTGGGGCTCCTGCCCCGGCAGCATCCCGCCCCACCATGTGCTGGAGGTAGGTAGCCCCAGCCAGGCCCTCGGGGAGCAGCTGAGGGCTCCCTGCTACCCTGGGCCAAGGGTCATGCAGGTGATTTGGAGTGTCTAGGGGATCTCCAAAGCCTCATCGTAGTTCTGGAGGTGCAAGGATGTGTCTCTTGGGTGCCAAGGCTGTGGGCAGAGGTGCCCACCCTAAGCAGAGCCTGGGTTTGAAGGCAAAGCTGTTGAGTTTGGGGGGACCGGAACCCCCATGCCTGTGGGTCCCCTGCTGTTGCATGCCACCAGGATGGGAGCCTGGCCAGTGCGTGGTCTGGTTGAGCAACAACCAAAGGCTTTGGTGAGCTGCCCAGTGCTGGGGGAGCTAAATCGATCCCAGCTGGGCCCCGTTCCCATCTCCTGCTGCCTCCTCCCCACAGGATAAAGCCATCCTCCAGGTCCTGGAGAGGCCTCCACCATCCACCAATGTGGCCCTCGACTTCCTCGGCTCCCCCATGCAGAGGGGCTATGGGGGGTCTCCCCGGCTCAAGCGACCTGACTTCAGACTGATGTCCCCCAAGTCCTTCCCCCAGCGCTTTCTCCAGCAGGTAACGGGTTTTGGAGGGCTTTTACGTCCCCTCTTCCTCTGCCTTCCCCTCCCCAGAGGTGCAGCCTTGAGGACAGGCTTGTCCCAGTGACGCCTCCCATCTCCTGCCCTGCAGCAGTCACCTCTGATGCCTCGCTCCCCATGCTCCCCTCGGCCCTTCACGCCAGCTCGCAGACCCTCTCCACTCTTTGCTTCCAACCAGGTAACGCAGCAAGCTGTGAGCCACCACTGTGTCCTTTCTGAGGTGGCCCTGGAGTGGCAGGGGACAGGGCTGGTGCCTCCCCAAAGCTCTGTCATCCAGGGCAGACTTTGCAGCTCCATCTGATCCTGAGTGCACGTCTCTGGCATCTTGCCAATGGGGAAAGCGGAGCTACCAGTGT